TGTGAGATTGCCGATATCATGATAATGCGTGTTTGTTGTCTTATTAATTGTCAAATGTGTCATTATTAAAATATGACAATGGGATATCATTCTAATATGTGCATTGTTGTTTTAAAATGTGACAATTGGACATCATTCTAAAATGTGCACTATTGTTTTGTTAAACTGTTGCCAAATGTATCATTCTTTAAATGTGCTATTGTTAACACCATAAATCTGCAATTTTTATTATTATTTATTATTTATATAATTGCAGGACACGTGACATCCTTTTATTCATTTGGAAGTTAAAAAGAGTTATAGAGATAATGGAGAATGTGAAGGACAAAGTGGATGAGTGGGAGGACAAAGTGGATGAGTGGAAGGACACATGGCAAGACAAGAATGAAGATGGAAGAAATGGGTAGTTACTAAGTAGTTATTGCTGTATTTTTTCTTCTATAAATAGCCATTAATGGCTACATTGTAAAAGATCCATAACTCAAATCAAAGACAATTGATTTCAATATTTCTTGTCATTTTCCTTATCTTAGGAGTAGTTTAACATAGATTTATATTTCGAAGCATTTATTTTCAGTATTTCCATTTCGAAGCATTTTATGTACTTTCTTTTCGAAGCATAGGAGTAGAGGTAAGTATTTATTACTTTGATTGTTCACTCAATCATCTTTCTCCGTCCCTTTTTCTTCTTTTACTTTTTCTTTTCGCTACACTTGGCAAATTTGAAGTCCTCTTCGTTGAGGCAAAAGAACCGTCAACACAATCGCTTGATAATTGGCTTGAATTTAATCTGTAAGGATTTTTTCAATCCTTGCTGGCACACTCGCATTTATGATATTTTCCTTCGTAGGAAAAATAAGCCAACAGCTATATTGTTTTATTAAATTTTTGTCTAATGTGTCATTCTGAGCATCATTCTACTTTTTGTCTTATTAAACTTTTGCTAAATGTGTCATTATTAAAATGTGACAATGGGATCTAATATGCGAACTACGATTTTTCAATTTGAAATATTATATTCGCATACTTTTTTTTTTTCAAATATGGGTATAATTCATTTGAGAGATTTTAATGTGAGATAGGAAAGACTTTTTGGATTACAAAATATCTAAGGGACTAAATGAGTCATTCCTAAGTTAGGGATATGGAATTTACTAGTCAATATGCCCCCATTTTTAATTACTCTCTTACTGATTGAATAAAAATAAATAAAAAAATTAGACATGGTTGTCATTTTGCACTTTTAAATGAAGGGAGACTACAACATAAATAGGAAATGGAAAAGTAATTGCAAAATTTTTATTTTTTTTTCTTTTCTTTTCTTTTTAATTGGCAGTAGAAGAGAAATTACAAATTGAGAAATATCATATCAAATTGACCATTAACCCCATAATAGTTAGAAATCTGACCATCACCGAGCCTAACAATCATCACTAGTCCAAACAACTGCATACAACTCCCAAAATAAACACTACGACTATCAAACTCCTCCCCATAAATGAACCAACAGCGTGTTGGGTCTTATGGTCCTTGATAAGTACTATTTACTGAGCCTTGCATTGAATGGGGGTTTGGGGGGTCTTCCCCAAGGGTCCGGGGTGTTACCCCTCGGCCCAAATTTTTTGAGTACTTTGATAATTTCTTATTGTTTTCACATTGTCTTAATTTCTATACTTACAAATAAATAAAAGGGGTGCATCTTTTCTAGAGAGAGTTGTATTGTTTTATGATTATAGTGAAACCGCAGCAACCATAGACGTAATCCTATTTTAGGGTGAACCACATAAATGTTTGTGTTTTGTGTGTGTGATTTCTTCGATTTGTTTTACCTTTCTTGTGTACTATTTTGTGTTTTACCAATCCTGATTAGGAAGAGACAGTTTCCTAATATAGCCTTACACCACAAAGTAGGGTTATACAACCATTAGGCCAAAGGCCTGGTTAAATCCAAATCAATTACACAATTTTCATTCATAACTGGCACATGACTCACTTGTAATCTATTGATTTGCAAATAATTTACTCATGTTTCATTATTTGAAATTCTTCTATAAGGTTGTGTTTGAAACTTAAATTTAAATAAAAATTTAAAGAGGAAAAAGTAATGGATGTCAATTCTTTTTCCTTCACAAATCACCACTGAAATCTAAAATCTGAACGCGGTCTAAATATAATTTCTTTAATTTCACTATATGCTTATACTTATCATGATGATCAACTTACTATGTTACACTACAACATATAAGAGTTTGAGATCAAATTTTTTAGTCTTTAAAAGTGAAAATTTTGTTGTGAAAGAAATTTAGAAATCAAGTTCTATTGTTGTAAGGATAGTCACTAAAAAATCATTCCGAAAAGTAAAAAACAAGACTTATAGCGACAAAATTTTGAAAATATCACTAATAAATACACTTTTAGCTACAAAATAATTTGGTCTAAAAAGGTTTATTTTTTGAGACAAAATATTTGGTCCCCAAAAGATAATAATTCATTACTAATTTTTAATTTTCGTTACTAAAAATATAATGACACTTTTCACAATAAAAATATTTGGTTCCTAAAAAATAATTTTGTCCCTAAATTTTGGCTTCCAAAATCTTAATTTTTTTTTTTATAGTGTTATATCAAACTAGAAGGTTCTTGTGGTGTCTCCTTCTTTAAATTGTGTGCTGCAAACATTGCAAATTAAAAAGTTGCATTATATATCTTTATCTCTTGACTTTCAATTGTGAAATTATGAAGTTAATAGTCCTACAATTTCTTTCAAGTTGAAGATGAAACTTGACATATTTTATAAGGAATATTCTTCTGACTTATTTTCTTTCAAAGAAAACATAATTTATGTTCATTTATATTATTTCGCTAGTTAAATTGTTTTTATACATCTAAGATTCTTCTGAATTGTGTCATGCTTAAATTTCGGTTCAACTAAACCCTTTAATTTAACAACAAATTAAAAGTTCATGTAAGATACAATTAAAAATAGAAAAATGATATGGAAGTATACTTTTTAGACCTACTTTTTAGAGATGGTGATATGTCAAGAAGATGATTGATTGATAATTGAATCATTCAGTCTAAGAAGTGGGGTCTAATTTTTAGACCTGAATAACAGCACTCGTAAAAATAATACTATTTGATTCCTATTGCTGCAGTATTACTCAAAGTTCTAGATATGGAAGGAAAGTCTGATTTCCACTTAGAGTAAATAATACTATTTCAAGCATCAACTCATGCAATTTATATTTGATCTTGAACTATTTGATTCCACAGATAAAATAAAAAATGAGGCTAATAAAAACTAACCCTCTGATACTGTTGAGCACTCACCATGATCAATTGAACTCAAAGGTTTCTCTCTCTGTTCTTGCACGGCCTTTCCTTTCAACTTAAGTCCTGCAAACATTACAAAGCTTCAATTCCCAAACAAATGCATCTCTCTCCTCTCTCATGTACATACGCTTTCTTTCGTCCAAGACAAGCACACACACAAACAGATATGCACAAACACAAGAAAAATGCAAACATAAAACATCGGTTTACATTGACGCTGTGTTTGGTTGGGGATTTAAGAAATGATTTAGAAAGGGAAAATGAAAAGATAGGTGAAATATGAATAAAATATATCTATATTTCACCTAATTTTACACACATTTTCATTTTCCATTTCCAAATCCCCCAACTAACACAGCGTAAACATTGAGTTCAGTTACTTTGGTCGCTTTCATGTGAATGAATATAATCATGCTTTGATCTCCGAGGTAGCCTTACAAGTCAATCTTTTTACCTCATCGAGGTTTGACCTCGGAGGATTTTACTCTTTGCCATTTGAAAATATGCAATTCACACTCACATAGTTTGGGACTAACATGCATAACTCTGTTAACAGAAACTACAAAAAAAAAAACCTTATTTTTTATATGTGTGTAATGTGTGCATGTATATTGTATATTTGCAAACCCAAATCAACATAAAGAAAGCAGTTCAAAAAAGAAAAGAAAAGAAAATAAGACATAAAGGGACAGTTACAGTGCATAGCATAACGTCAATCACATCTTTTCCTCTCTTTCTTTTTGGAAATCTTAAATAATAGGATGACAGGGAGGTAAAAGTCCAAAATGGATCAAAACAACTTGAGGGCACTTTACATATATTTAAATGTCAGAGGTCAAGTGCTCTACCTAGACTAAAATCACAGAGAGTAAAGAGGATTTTACCCTTTAATTTACAACATATTGAAAGTTGTGTTGGATACAGTCTTCTGCTTTTGTTATTGGATGTTTAAAATCCAAATATTTAATTTAATTTTCATTTTTGTTAAATGAAAATCATAGACTTTATATTCTTTTTAACTAACTAAAAAAAAAAAAGTCTTGGACAAAACCTTTGTCGATCTGAAACTTGCAATCAAGTACAAATGATGCAATTTACAGCTTCAACATCAAAAACAGTAGTTGCTCCTTTAAATATAATAACCTCTATGCTAATATGTATCCATTGGAAAGAAGAATTGCCCCCATCCAATTTTATCAATTCAATAAATTGGTCACCAGTTGGGCAGCCATTTTTCACAAAACTGTGGTCACAACTAATTTAGGACTAGGAGTCACGATAAATTAGGCCTTTTTGAGTCTTAGTTCTAACACATACCAGCCAATGCTATCAAGGTCTGGTTCTACAACTAAATTAGGAGTTTAATAGGGTAGGTTTACTTTCTTAAATGCTAAATAATACAAATTTCAGGCCTTGTATGGTTGTATGAAGTTGAGCTTTGTAATGCTTATGTTTATTAAATTTTTCCTGATGTATCATAGCTATTGTATTGCTGCGCACTTACGATTTTCTGCTGAATTAGAAGAACCTCCAGGCTCCATCTTCCCTTTTGAATTTTGTCCTGCAAATACAGTGAAGCTTCACTCATAAACATATTCCCATGCATGGAAATGAAGTTGCCAACACAAAATATTTAGTTGTAGTTGTTCTTGCTCAAGACGAAAGTACCTTGTTGCTTTAAGCTGCCTGGTTTGAGTTGTTCCACTTGCTCTGTATCTTTTGTGTCAATTCCTGAAGATAGAATCATGTTTGATCTTAAAGGTTAGAGTTAATGTAATTCCATAAATATAGGCCAAGTACTTAAACCTATATTCTTCAAAAGATGATTCCCTCCAAAAATAGTTGTATTTGAACAACCAGAAGTACAAACCATTTAAGGGACAAGATGTGGAAAATACGTTGCAGGTGGTAGTAAGTACTTACCTTTACAACAGTATGGAAAGTAACTATGAGCTGATGAAGATGCACGAGGTTTGAGAGCCACTTTCTCAATCTGCAAGTCAGGAATGTCCCTAATTTTTTGCCAATCTGAGCCTCCTCCATCCTCATTTTCGCATCGCGCCATCAATAAGGGGCACCCCTTAATACGCAGATGTTGAAGTGAAGTAGGAACCCCCTCCTCTGGCAAGGACTAAAGTTCAGGGCAATCGTCAATGTAAAGATCCTTGAAGGAACTAAGGTTCCGCAACACCCAACTTGGGCCTAAAGACCGAAGATTGGCACATGAGTGAATAATTAAACATTCAAGCGAGGCAGGAAGCCCTTCATCTGCCAAGGTTGAAAGTTGAGAACAATCCCGAATGGATAGTAGTTTCAGATTTGGCAAGCTTTGCCATGACCCTTCTCTGTCCAACAAAGACTTGAGATCTTTGCAGCCACGTATGTGCAGTGCCGAAAGCAGAGGGAGCTCAGGCAATGCAGGAAGAGAGACTAGGTTTGAGATATTGGAAATGGCTAAAGAGTACATAATGGGGCTGTGAGGTATTGCCTGCACTAAGGTGGCATCAGGGCATGCGTCCAATGCTAATACCTGGAGACGTGGTGTGTCGATTGGGAGGGCTTGCAGGAGGTCATTACACCCAATGAGCTCCAGTTTTTGTGGGGAAAAAAATTGTGGTAGACCTTGAATCTTGGGGCAACCTATAATTTTCAATTCCAAGAGATGAATCATCGCATGCTGCATTAGGGTTCGATACCCTGAAGAGGATAACACAGGTCGGCATTGATCATGTTGGAATTGACTGTTTCCAGATATGCAGCGGAGGGGATGGCCTTGATCATTCTCAAAAGAGCTGGGCGTGGGCTCGTCTTGGTCATTTGAAGGGTATAATGAAATGCGTGGTTCAGACCAACCCTCAAAGGCAAGATTGTCGATAAGGATTAGAAACACCAGAAATGGGGTTACTGGAAGAGCCTTCAATGAATCACACTTTTTGATCTTCAAAACTCTCAAGTCACCCAAAAAACCTGGCAACTTCCTTAGCTTCGGGCAGTTGCTAATGTTCAGTCTATACATAGATGGTGATCCCTCCTCATGCCATTCCTCCAACTCTTCCATTCCTTTGATGTAGAGCTCTTCGAGCGCAGGTAGCTGACCAAGGGTGAGGATTTTGCAATTTTTGCAATGATAAAGGGAAAGAACTTTTAGAGTTTGGAGTTCCCCGCTTCTCATCCAAGTCGGAATTCTAGTACCCATGTAGTGAATAATTCTGAGCACTTCAAGACTTGAGTGAGGATTTAGGTCTTCTAGTGTTCTCTCGTCAGTTATTTCTCCCGTCAATTGAAAATTTCTTTCACTCCATTCCAAAACCAACTCTCGAAGCATTGGCTTGTCTTTCAAGTTAGCATCACATGCATTCACTGCATTTTCAAGTTTTGAGATGTGCAGTTTTCCTGTGAGATACAGCAAGTTCTTCAGTTCCTCAATTCCATATCCTTTCTGGCAGCCCAAAGGAAACTTGTGTAGATTGTGTAGACTAGTCAAGCTCCCAATTCCCCGTGGCAATGTTGAGCACCTGAACCAAAATATTTCATCTACCTCAAGATATCTTAGGTTAATCAAGATACTGAGGTCCTTGGGTAAATCAGAAAAATAATGGCACCCCAAGAGTTTCAGGGTCTGTAAATTGTGGAGGCTACATATTGCATCTGGAAGCTGTCTTATTTCAGTTTTTGACAGGTCAAGGTAGCTCAACAGCTTCAACTCTTTAATTGACTTAGGCAATTCCATGAGTGTGCTTGAACTTAGATCCAATAAACGAATGTACCTCAAATTGTGAAAAATTTGCTCAAGGAGGACCTGACCAAATTCCTTGGTGAACAACTCAGTAGGCGATAGAAGAGTGCAAATTCTTCTGGACTTGCTAATTATATTCATAATAGGCTGCTCAACATCTTTACAAACCAGTGACACATAACGAGATGTTTCAGAAACATCACACTTCCCATCATCCTTTAGGTGGTGAATATAGCGGCTGGAAACTGAGAGTGCCAAGTCATGGATGAGATCATGCATCTTACAATTAGTCTCGGGCCCATCATTTGGTTGAAAGAATGATCTTGCTAACAACTCGTCGAAGTACCTAAGTCCTTTATCCTCCATCCTTTCTATATCACTAAGCTGAATGAATCCCTCAGCCATCCAGAATTTCACCAGTTCATTCTTATCAAATCCATATCCCTTTGGAAATATAGAACAGTAGGCAAAACACTGCTTAAGATGAGAAGGAAGATGGATAAAACTCAACATTAGAGCAGGTAAAATTTCTTCCTCCCCTTCTTTCAAGTTCTGGTCTACCTTCCATATATCATTTTTCAGGATATCTTCCCATTTGCTTGCTTCAATGTTACATAGGAGAAGTCCCATTACCTTGACAGCCAAAGGTAGACCTTGGCACTTGTGCACAATTCCCCTGCCAATATCTTCCAGACGTTTGCGAGCATCGCCTGATGTATTATTACCTTGAAATGCATGCTTCTTGAACAGATCCCAACATTCTTCCTCTCCCATTTCTGACAAGTTATAGGGATTAGCTTGAATGCCGAAAACTCTTTTGCTTCGACTAGTCACAATGACTCTGCTGCCCCTTTCCCCATTTTCCAGGATTACCTAGTCAGAGATCCATAAAAATAAAAAAACAAAAAAGTTTCAAAGCCTATAAAAATTAACATCATGAGTTTAGAAAGCCTCACTATATAAAACCCAGAATTTACAATGATCAATGAATGAAGAAAAGCTTTGATCTATTGAATTCAAGAATCAAAAGCTAATTATATAGTCTGATTACGTTACTCCTATATGGATAGGAGAATATATAAGAACTTACCCTAACTAACTACACTAACCACTCTTAACTGTATCACAAACTCTAATTGTTATCATATGATGTTCTGTCATTTAACAGCCTTCACTACATATGAGGCTCATGTGGTGCTCATGATCATGATTAATGTTATGCCACTGCCAGGGCCAGCCCCTAGGAGAGGCAGTCGCCTTAAAATTTTTTTTTTTTTTTGGAAAAGAGTGTTCGAACCGTACCAACCTACGGTGGGCATCATGTGGTGATATTTTAGGTTCGTGTCAAAATTATCTCAACACTAGTTCAATCTATTTATTTTTCATGTTATCATATTATGCATTTTCAGTTCGTGTCATGTTAATATGTCATATATCAAAAATTTTACTCTTAATTAAAAACACTAAGTGTCTGGTGAGATTAGAAATTATTCACAAAATGTTTGATTTTAACTCAATTGTTTTTTCCTAATTTAAAAATGTTATACCATATTATTTTATATATTTTTTACTAGATTGACTCTAAAATAGGTAACAAAAATATATATCTTAAATGAAAAAGAAAAACATTAGCCTTAGAAGCTTATTATTATGCATACTTTTTTTTATTAAGGTAGATGGAATTACATAAAAAATGTCATGGCACCATTTCGTAAAAATAAAATTACAAAAATTAAAGATTTTAGAGACAAAATTTTAGGGACAAAATCACTTTTTAAGAATAAAATATTTTTGTCGCCAAAAGTGTTATTATTTTATTTTTAACGACAAAATTAGACATTTAGTGATGAATTACTAACCTTTTGAGATCAAAAGTTTTGTTTCAAAGAAATAAACAACCCATTATATGCCACTTACATATTATATATTACCATTATCTGCCACCAACACCACTATCATATTCTATACATGCCACTATCTGCCACCAACACCACTATCATATTATATACATGCCACTATCTTATTATATACATTAACACAAATTTCCAGCACTCCCCTTCAAGCTGGTTTGAAGATATCGCCCATAGCCAGCTTGCTAGTCAGCTTATCAAATTGCTTCTTGTGTAGTACCTTCATTAGCACATCAACTAATTGTTCACCTGTTGGAAGGTAGGTCATACAGATTATGCCAGCATTGATTTTCTCCTTGATGAAATGTTTATCCGCTTCTATATGTTTTGTGCGATCATGTAGAACTGGATTATGAGCTATAGATATAGCTGCTTTGTTGTCACAATAGACCTTCATAGGTGTCGGGTGAGAAAGCTTTAATTCTTCAAGAATTCTTTTAATCCACATTACTTCACAGATTCCATGGGCAACAGCTCTCAACTCTGCTTCTGCACTACTTCTAGCTACCACATTCTGTTTTTTACTCCGCCATGTAACTAGGTTCCCACCTACAAAGGAGCAGTATCCGGATGTTGATCTCCTATCTGTAACACTTCCTGCCCAGTCTGCATCTGTGTATACTTCAACTTGAAGATGTCCATGTTTCTTGAACAGTAAGCCTCTCCCTGGAGTTCCTTTCAAATATCTTAAGATCTTATAAACGGCCTCAAAGTGCTCTGCCCCTGGTGAGTGCATGAACTGACTTACCATGCTGACTACAAAGGCAATATCAGGCCGTGTATGAGACAAGTAAATCAATTTCCCGACAAGTCGCTGATATTGTTCCCTCTCTTTGACTTCTTCAGCCTTAGCAGCTTGTAACTTCAAGTTAGGCTCGATCGGAGTCTCCACCATCTTACAACCAAGCATACCTGTTTCTCCAAGGAGATCAAGAACATATTTTCTCTGATTAACGAATATACCTTCCTTGGATCTTGCAAATTCCATTCCGAGAAAATACTTGAGGGCTCCCAGATCCTTAATGTGAAATTCTTTTGCGAGTTTCTCTTTGAGGGCTAGAAATAGCCAGTGTCTCCCCTTTGCCGAGGCAGGATTTATGGCGGCACAAAATACAGAAGAAATTGTGGTTATGGCAGCTGCATCGGAACAGGGGACCGCTCCACAGAGTGAGGCTAGCATCAGTATGTCATATCCGCCCAGGTCGCCCGTTGTGCACCCGGTTTGGGCTCCCCAGTTATACCAGGTGCGAATAAGTATGCACGTCTTCTCAATAGCCTCATATTTATACACTTCATAAACATAGATTTTAAACCATTGAATCTCGGCCGAAGAGATTGAAGATTTATTTTATAAAATACACTTAGATTAAATAAGCACAAAAAATTAACATAATTGTTAGATGCATAATAGAAATAAGGATGTGGGAGGCTAAAGATTAGAAATTGATCTTTATAAGAAAACATAAACTTACAATGAAAAAATTTATCAATTGATTTCTTCACAATTGCTCTCTAAAGTTTGAAAAAAAAAAAAAGAAAAAGATAAATAAATAATTAAAAAATAAAAAGATAGGTCTCTCAAAGGTGTCTTGTTTGTTCAGCGGACGGATGCGGATTAATTTTCTCCAATTCGCCAATCTGGCAGACGGATGGTGGATTGGAGGTTCCGTGGCCGCAACCGACCCGCGCCCACCCCTACTGTGTTCAACAAAGAAGAAGAAGAAAAGGAAGAGAAACAGAAAAAAAAAAAGAATCGCAAAACGTAAAATAATGTCGTTGTTACATAATTAATTTTTGGTTTAGAAAATTACGATATACTACTGAATTGTTTTACAAAAAATTTATACGTGGTGAATCTCACTATTATAATGAAGATAGATTCTCTCTATTGGAAGGGTCTTGCCGGGCCAATTGCAGACGAGGTTAGATAAGTGAAAAAGAGACTAAATATCAAAAGGGAGAAGGCTTACTTTGGATTAATTGGTTTTGTCTAGTGTAACTATTTTTTATTTCTATTTATTTAGAATTCCAATGAGAGTAACAAACAAAATTGAGAAAATAATGAGAGTTTTTTTTGTGGGAAGGAAGTAGAGAAGGGAGAAAGGACATTTGATTAGTTGGGATGTAGTATCTCTTCCTAAGAATAAAAGTAGGGCTTGCTTTTGGCATATATTTTAGAAATAACATTATATTGCTTAGTAAGTGGTTATGGAGGTTTCTTGGTGAGCTCAATTCTTTATGACACTAATTAAAAGTAAGCATGGGATTCAACATAAGGGTTGAGATTTTCATTTGGATAATTGGGAGAATTCAAGATTTCCATGTAAATTCATTTCTCAAGGCAAATTTCAATTCTCTCAGTTTATTCATTTTGTTGTGGCTAATGGAGAAAACATTCATTTTGGGGAGGATGTATACTCAGCTGAGATTCCATTTGCTCATTTTTTTTCTCATTTGTATTGTTTATCTCATTTCCATAAAGTTTTCATTGCATCAATGGTTTCCTCTTATTCAATTTCTTGAAAAACCTTTACATTCGTATCCTTGATAACGTTTCATTGAGACAATAGGGTAAAGATAAAAGAATGTGGAGTATTCACTCTTCTAGAGCATTTTCTTGCAAATTCTACTTTGAAAACATTATTGATAATCCAAGTGTACCAATCTTTGATCCTTGTAAGAAGATTGGGAATGCAAATGAGCCACTCAAAGAATCTAATTGATTCAGGAAATGAGACCTAATTGATTTTGGCATCTATAGTGGTGTGTCATGTGTAGGAATGATGATGACAGTAATGATTATTTATTTTTGCATTGTTCCACAACTTCACCATTATGGAGGAGATTGTTTGGGTTAGCGGAGGTCGATTGGGGTACCTTCTTCAAGTGTTCAGATGCTATTGGTTGATTTTAGTAGGTTTGGAATAATAGAACAGCACCAAGTTTTGTTGGTAATATGGTTGGAAAGAATTGACAATTTTCCTAGTTCAAAGACAAAGGGTCTATATGATAAATTTTGTTACTTGTCTCCTTTTTTTGGAGTTGGTGCCACTTTCTTTTAATAGAGTACCCTTGTTCTTCATTATTAGATATTGTAAGGCTATGTATGAGATGTAATTTTCATTATTTTTCTTTATTTTTAGACGACTTCTGGTGCTCCTTGGTACTTTTCTTATTTCTTTTTAATAAAACTTCTTTGTTGCTAATAAAAAAAATGTTAAGGCACATGAAGAACCCAACAAAAGTTTAAATCAATCCAATTAGAGGTGCAAATTGGGTTGGTTGAACTAAAGCAACCAGAAACACTCTCAATCCTAGATAGCATTTTGTTTTTCTTCAGTTCAGGCTTTGGCTGGATTTTTCTAACCCAAATTGAATTTGATCCACACCTAGAATAAGGAGTTTGGCAATCTGAACAACCCAAGTCTGATTTGTATATTATATACTTATGTATTAGAGAGAGAGAGAAGCCCACAAACATTTATGTTGCACACTCAAATGTCCAAGAATATTCAAGTCATCCCACTCTTCAAATCTTTCATTCAAAATCCTCTTTCTCAAGCATCCACCAGCACCCCCATCCTAGGGTTTCGGTGACCCCTGCTATTCCCAACAAGGTCAGCACGCGTGCATTTATCTATTCAGTTCATTTATTCAAATTGGGCTTCACTCACAATGCCTAGGGTTTTTTTCCATCAAATCAATCATAATCTCCTGTGCATATATATAGTTGTGTATATATCTTGTATTAACTTAGGTGGCACAATTGTAAAGCGAACTATGCACATTCGTGTTCATATCATCATCACCGGTGACCTCAATAAATACATTTCCGACCAATGTTGCCTTGTCTTGGCCGTCGACCTCTAGCCCGATGATATGTACCCTGATCAAGTCCCTGTCACAGTAATCGATATGCCGTCTAGGTCTCTACCTATATGTATGTACATATATGTTTGGATGAGTGTTTCTCTGTTTATGACAACATTCAGGAATACACCCTGATTCAACTTTCAAATATTTTTGTATTACACTATTAATTCAGGCAACCCAAACTTCACTCGAGCTCTCTCAGTTTTGTTTCAGCTTGGGCGAGCAAGACACAATTGGATAAGCTTCCAGTCCAACTAAACCCACTCAAGTTGCAGCCCTAAATCCAATTACTCAAATAAAATGCCTCCTCATATTTTTAATATGAACAACAAAAATATGAAAAATCAGAAATTGATATTAACAAGATGTTCAGAGTATTGGATAATGATGCCGAGTATTTTTTTAAGACACATACCTTCCCCAAACCTGCATCTTTCCCAGATTCTTCTGTCTCACCCTGTTTGGGTCAAACAGATAGTCACTAGAACATAATCGCCATGAGAAGCACACAATCGCTTCATTAATATAATAAGAAAGCACATATATTTTCTAGTTACACAACGAGAGCAAAATTTATCCTACCTGTAAATGCCATATCAGTATATGAGCAAATATGTCACTTCTTTGAGCAGCTCTAAGCAAGTAACCTTCGACTAATTGCTGCAAATAGAGAAATTAGTCATCAGATAAACCTACATAATATAGAAAATGTAGCATGCAATAATACAATTAAAGCTTCAATTCAGGTTCTCAATCAGGTTGTAGGTCAATTGAAAGCAACCCTACAACGGAACACTCTACATAGCCCAAAACAACCTATTCATCAAGTCGGCATAGGTTCAGGTCAGCTTATGCCTTACTTTCGAGAAATTAGTCATTTCAATAACCTTTTATTGGTTTTCTGGGAATCCAAAATACAAACATCATGGATGTTTGCTTTCCCAACCATTTTTGTCAGTCCCATCCCCCAATTTGATCCTTACCCTCCTGTTACTCCTCAAAAACAAAATTATTAATAATAATAATAAAACTAATTCTTGTGAGTTCCAGGACTGACCAGGAAAGGGGTAATAGATAAAGTTTATGTGCTGTTGATTTTTAGGTGTAGTGCTTCTTCCTTCATGCTGCTTATTGGTATTAAAGGAGTAGGATTGATCTGCAATATAGAACCTCTAGGTGTAACCTTTTGGCTTCCACTTAATAAGGTCAGTCAAGTTGGAGGTCAATTTGACTGAACCGTCATGGAACACTGTACAAAGCCCAAGAACTGAGCTTAAAAAGGCCCCGTTTGGGAACTTGGCTATTTTAGTTGTCTTTTTGACTATTTTAGTCTAGCTAAAAAAGTTGTGTTTGGGATGATAGTTGGCTTTTTTTTTGTAGTTGAGTTGATAGTTGTGAAAGAAAAAGTGAAATGACTATGGTTGGAAAGTGACATTTTGTCTTATTGGCTATTTTAGTCTATTTTGTCTTTATTGGTTATTTTAGCCAAAAATTCCATATCACAAACAGGGCCAAAATAGCATAGCTTTAGGTCAGCTTATGCCCTTACCCAAAAAAAGCAATTAAAATGCTACATTTTCTGCAGAAGTTTTCATTTTGTCCAACAATTCAACTCTTGTTTAGGTCTTGCTCTATCTACCAAATTATATTAGTGTGAATTCTGTCATTTGGAGTAATGCACATTAAAATAAGTGGATAAAATTTTCCAATTATGAGGCAGTTATAGAACTGAAATTTCAGACCTAAATGAAAATTAGTAGCAAAATTCAAAACTTCTTCCACCCATTGTGTTCAGCATCCAATGGTCAGTCAGGATTCTGAGTTACAATTTTGGACACTGTATTAGTAGTTTTTATTTTTTATGTTTCAACAATAGATAATTAACAATTATTAAATGCACGTAATACAAAATCCAATGAAAATTTTCAAACTTAGCATGTAATGGATTTACCAACGTTAGATCTAGTTAAAAATTGTGTTGCCTAAATCCCCACCACAAACTAAGAATGTTTAAATATATGCCCAGCCATAAGCACCAATTCTTTTGTCTAAGTTCACCCGTGGTTGATGCCAGCTCAATCTGTCAGGTTCAAACTCTTGAAGTGGATGAACCTAAGAGTGAATGAGATAAAGATGTATAGCCAACAAGAGGGGAAGCAGGGAAGAAATTATTACGCATAGAGTGCATTAACATGTTAATGAGACAGCCCACCTCTTCATCATATCGTAGGGCCTGTACTAGCTGTGGCATGAAGAAGGTTACTCGCTCAGAAGGGTAAGACTCCAAAACTCTGAGAACATAGGCCATCACACGTGGATGACCTTTATATGCTGGAGTAAGAAACTCAAGAGCCTGTGTGATTGAACAAGCAGCCCAGTGCGGCAGTTGTTGTAAAAGTGGTGAATTTTCATCGACCGCCTTTGGGGTAACAAAATATGGTAATGCCTCAGGTATGCAGCGGAGCTCCAATATATGTGACTGCAATAAATTATACTCACAGTTAGCTCAATGAAGAAGACCCTCTTGAAGTGAACTAAAAATTTGAAAGGGTAAATTATACTTTCTTACACCGCTGCATTTTACACCGAATCTCACTTTCGTCCCCCATTTTCCACATGTAACAGTCAACTGTTTGCACTTTTGGTCAAGTTGCAATGTGGCCTTTCAGCTCTTATGTCACATTCACTAACAGAAATTGTCATGTGACCCTTACATGGGACAAATTTTTTTTTTCTTTTTCCCATTTTTCTTCTATATTTCTCCACTATATTTGCTCTCTACTGTTTTTTCTAAACCTTTACCACCACCCATGGCCACTTTCCATCACTTTCCTACCACCAACACCCCTTTCCCACCAGCTCCCAACCTCCTATCATCACCACCCCCACCCCTTGCCTGCCAGCCCCATCCCTTCACACCACCCAACCCAACACCACTGCACCCATTCCCTCACCTACAAGGTCAGTGGTGGTAGGTCTAGAAAATACAGTAGAAAGAAGAAATACAGTGGAAAAAACAGGGAAGGAGAAGAAAAGGGAAGAAATTTACATTTCTTTTCCCGAAAGATGTATATCATATGAGGGTCATATGACAATTTCTGTTTGAAACAAAAGTGATACTATATAATCTAAAGGAAGAGGAAAAACATAAAAGGAAAAAATATGTTTTCAAATGAGATTATGACGTATCTATACTGTAAAAACAGTTAGAAGGATCCTGACAGGCAATCTCTTTTCATCAAATCAGATGCGAACTTTATTGATAAGATCATAATTGAGGTAGATGAATTCACACAGGAAAACCACTCAAAACTCAATTAATTTCTTTAAGGATAAATTACACTGACATCCCTTGAGATTTAGAGAGAATAAAATAAGCCACACAAGTTTGGCATAATTACATTGGGCTCCTTTGAGATTTTAATTCACATAACACTTGGCCCTTTTTTATTAGTAATTCACTAGTTTTATGGATGAAAAAATAATGTTATCTCTTTTATCCTGAAATGTATATCTCACCTTGTTTATCTATGTGTTTTTACACCATATGCATTAATTTTGGTCCCTTTAGCCTCATTAAAAGGGAGGTCCGTGTAATTATGCCAAAATAGTGGGGCTGCTTGTATTTTCTCCAAACTTTAAGGGAGAACAGTGTAGTTTAACCTTTCTTTATATGTTGAGTACATTAGTCAAAATAGACCAGAAATACTAGGCTGCAATGACTATCAAAACATTTGGCACCCAAATGAGAAGAAATAATTCACATTTTCTACATTAGAAAGTGAAGATATTCAGTGTTATTGAGTTTCATTTAATCATTAGGTAGTGGAAAGCAAAGAAGAGAAAACCAAGAGAACAAAGTAAAGTACAAAAATAAAAAGGGAAAAAATCCCTCAAAACAGATTTCTCATTGAAAAAGGACACTCTACCACAGTTTAATGTCTAAGGTCCTTGAATTTAATTTTTTCAAACTACAAGTCCACATAATAAGCATCTCATTGGACAATTTTATCCTCTTTAAATTTGTTGGCTCTTGTTGACGAAGGAGTTAATCTCTATAGAAGGAGAGGGAGACGTAGAGACAGAGGCGATAATGGTTGGACAATGACTGATGAGCTCAACTGTGATTTTTGTGAGGCTCGCTCAATCGTATTGCTTGCTAGGCTGCGTGGATATGCTATTTCACAACCTCTGTCATAGTAATATTTCCTTGAGGCTTTCAACTATGGAAGAATTGGTACTACATCATGCATTATATATTATTTGCATCATGTAGATCATTAAACCATCTATATTCAATTAATGTTGTGACATATGTGATAATATTGCTGTTGATCTGAGTTTTAGATACAATGGATAACTCTATTGGTCTTCTCATTCTTTTGTTTAGATACATATGTATTCGTCAATCATTTAGCAGTCAAACTAGAGTAAAATTTTACTATACAAATATAATTTTAAAAAAAAAAAAATTTACAATAATTGCTATTCAATTTTTTTAAATTGTTTCATATGTATGTTAAAACATGAATATTTGGGAACATCCACAATTAATTTATGATTTTTGAAGTTGAATTTTTTAAATTAATTTCCGGTCTTGTGATTTTGATTTTATAGTTAAAATCATAAGAAAACTGATATGAAAAATAAGGAATGTCGTGATCATTGTGGTGCTTACTGATGGTGATGGTCTATGAAGCACAAAACGCTGAAATAGGTGCCATAGCGGTGTCGGACAAAGGGACACATACAAGACATGCCATTTGGCATGTCCCTTTAATTTTATTTTTATTTTTTTATTTTTTTTTATCTTTTTGGCAAGGGACACACCAGGGACACGTGTCCAGAATCACACCAAAAAGAGTTCAGAGCTTTAGCCCTAAATCTCAAAATCATAACAGAAAAGAAAGAAGAAAACGAAAAAGAAGCTGATTACCTGGTTCGTCGGACACACCAAAAGAAGAAGAAGAAGAAGAAGAAGAAGAAGCTTCGTGACCGCGGTCAGGTAGGTCTCTCTCTCGCCTCTCGCTTCTCTTTTTTCTTTTTTTTTTAATTTCTTATGATTCATACACCTTGCTCTCTCTCTTTCTAATTTATATTTATGTATTTTATATTTTTCTATTTAATTTTTTTTCTTTATAAGGTTATATCTTTTTTCTGTATGTATGATTATTCTAATATATTTTTTTTACCTTATAAATATAAATGTAGTGGTTTATATATATATATATATATTGAATTAAGGTTAGTTTTTATTAATTTTGATTGTTTTGTAACATAATATTAATCTATGCAACAAATATATAAATATAAATTTGCTGTGTCCCCCACTGTATCTGTGTCCGTGTCCCTATTTTTTTAAATCACCATGTCCCGTGTCCATATGTGTGTCCGGCCTGCATAGGTGATGGTAATGGCGACATTGCGTTGGTGGTTAACGAAAGCAATTTTATATTTGAAGAGTAAATTATGCTTACTATTTTATTATTTTGATAAATTTCTTTTTAAATATTTTTGTTGGTACAAGTAACAGTGACAATGAGTGTAGTGGTTTGTGATGTGATAGTGGAATTTTATTGTCAAAATAAAGGTTTAACACAGTAAAAGTTTAACGTACTCGAGCCATAAGTCCAAATTTAAAACTTTTAGGCCAATAGCGCAAAACTCTTTTCTTTTGGGGCCAAAAGAACAATAATAATTTGAAAGATCATATTACCCCTACCTATCTGTCCATCTATTCATTGTCCGCCTATCTATTCAAATGTCATCTATCAGTCCTACCTATTTGTCCATGTGTCACCTATTTGTCCATCTAATCTACCTATTTGTCCATATCCTATGAAGCATGGGTACTTCGACAAACATTTCACACCCGTACCGGGTACTTACCGATGGATGATATTTCGTATGGCACATACCCAGACGTACCTAGTATATACCCAAGTCATACTATACCTTAGTTGAAATAATATTTTCTTCTACTACATAGATAAAATTCCTTTCACTAGATTTCTTTTTTATTTTTAATTTTATGCTTAGTATGATTTTAAAATTAAGCTATGGTTTGTAAGTTGCTGGAAATTTGTGTTAATGCATATAATAAGATAGTGGCATATGATAGTGGTGTTGGTGGCATGTATATAATATGATAGTGGTGTTGGTGGCATGTATATAATATGATAGTGGTGTTGGTGGCATGTATATAATATGATAGTGGTGTTGGTGGCATGTATATAATATGATAGTGGTGTTGGTGGCATGTATATAATATGATAGTGGTGTTGGTGGCATGTATATAATATGATAGTGGTGTTGGTGGCATGTATATAATATGATAGTGGTAGATTGTGGTAATATATAATATGTAAGTGGCATATAATGGGTTATAATGATGTTTGTAATATCTCCTATATAAGGAGTGTCATTTGGTCTTGTAAGATAAGAAGTTTTGAATATAACAGAAATATATTCCTTCTTCCTCATATTTTCGGAGTTCTTCTTCCTCATATTTTCTAAGTTAAACTTTTGTGGATCCAACTTATTTTGTCCCTAAAAGTGTATATATTAGTGGCATTTTTAAAATTTTGTCACTAACAATCACTTTTTTGATTTTTCGAAACGATCTTTTATTGACGATCCTCGTGACAACTAAAATTAGTCTCTAAATATTTTTTTCAACAAAATTTATACTTTTAGAGACAAAAAGCTTGATCTCTAAAACTCTTAAATGTTGTAGTGTTAAAATGTGCAACTAATTATTCATGTTATCGGGTCATCTCATATTTGGATTCATATCAAAAAATGATCAATTCTAATTCGCCAATCTCTTGTACAGTTTGAGTCGCCCTTACCCCCAACTATTTTTAGCTCTTATAGTATTGGTCCGGTACGTTAAAAAATAGGACAAAGGGTGGGTGTTGTCGTAGCAGCCGTGCTGTGACGACCCAATGGGTTTGTCCCAAGTCTATTTTAATGATCTGAACCCTAAATGTTGGGCATATCATCCACATAAAAAAATGAGATTAATTGGATATGCGTAACTCCATGATTAGGACCTAATTATTTTCTAAAAAATTATCAAAATCATGCTAATCGTTTATTTTATTTAAACATAAATGTGGCCTTGTTGTGGGATTACATATGTCCAATTAATCTGATTTTTTTTTCATGAATAATCTACCTGACAAATCCTACAATAAGGAAGATCATCAAAAGAGGTTCGGGACACTCCTCCCGGGCTATACAGCCTTATACTCTAAAAAATAAGTATTGGATTCAACTAATCTAAGTTCACAATCTAAACTAAAGATTCTTATAGATTATGAATGTTTTAATTACTAATTTTACATCTAAAAATACAACACTTTGATGTTGTGTTCATTCAAGTTTTATTTATATAACCAAGAAAACAGTAATGGTACTACTTACCTAGTAGAAGAAATTGTATTTTATTTATTTTTTGGATAGTAACAAATTGTATTGTTGAAACCTCTAGATTGGTGAAAGGTTTAATATAGGCAAGGGTACCTTCAGCTGCTCCCAGTCTGTAATGTTTTGAGTCCAAACATCATCTAGAACAAGCAGAAAACGCTTTCCGGCCAAAAACTTGTGAACTTCTGTTTGTACGTTGTCCATAGACAGGGTTGGTTTGTACGACTTCCCATAAAGGGATACCTTCATCTCTTGTAGAATCCTGTCCAAATTGAAATTGAAATTGACAGAAATCCATATTCTGTACTGAAAATGCTCTTTAACTGCATCATCATTGTAGACCAATCGAGCAAGAGTTGTTTTGCCTACCCCTCCCATCCCGACAATGGTAATGGTAGTAATGTGTCCTTCCTCCTCACTCACATCTTTATCCAACGCCGCCGACACCAACATCTCCACTATCTTCTCTTTATCATCTTTCCTGCCGACAACTTGCGATTTGCTCAAGAGAGAACTAGTGTGTGTTTGACCATATCCGTGTCCGTGTCCAGTCTCAGAAGCAGGCATCATCACAACCGGGGCACTAATGATGTTGTCGAACAGTTTTTTTCCTTCCTTAATGTCTTCTAGCCTTCGTAACAGCTTGGTCACATCATCTACTATGCTATACCCAATGAAAATTTTGTGCATGCTTGATCTTAAGCTACTTACTTGCTTCCTTCTCCACATATACGCATCGGCCGATAGGGTCTCTAGAATGTCTGCTGTGTCATAAGCAAAGTCTTGCACCTTTTCAAGCCAATCTTTCAGGGGTTCAGACTTTGTTTGCATCTTGTCTGTTTCTTGAAGAACAGCATTGATTGCAGACATGGTATCTGACAGTCTTTTGATATCTTCCTCGACTCCGATCACACCCACATACCTGTCACTGATTAAGGAAGCAGCTGTTTTTATCACTACAGAGACTATGGGACTCACTACAAGTGAAATTGGGAACATACTTTCGTTTCTTGGTTTGAGCTCGGACTAGAAACTGATAAAATGGCTACTAATTATTCTTGTGTGTGTGCGCTGGTGTTGTTATAAGGGAGGAACACTGCTATGGTCTTGAAAAGATGGTTAAAAATTAAATTTTTTTTTTTTGATATTTTTGATTTTTTTTTTTTATATGAGAGTTGATATGATTTAAAAAGAATTAAAAAAAAAAGTTAATTTTTAACTTTTAACCGTGTTTCCAAATAATCCCATGGTAATTCAATTATATATTAATAAAAAATTATAATATTTTTTTATCTTTTGTAATTATTTTTTATCTACTCCGTTTTCCTTTATTAGAGAGAATAACAAGCAATGGTGTCAATAATGACAGAGACTCTCACAAAACACAACCCTCACAACTTTCAAAATAATCTACACCATTCATATCACTGTTAGATATAATCCTCCAAAAAAAATTTAAATATATCAATAATCAATACATCACTAAAAATTATAAGATCCACCTTTGTAAAGTCACAAACATTTTTCGTAATTTAGGCCAAGTTTGGGTACTCCCAAAAAAGCCAAAAAGTCAAAAAGTTACTCAAAAAGTTAAAAAGTTAACACTATTCACCAAAAGTCAACAATTACGGCTGCACAACTCCCAATTCAAATTTTCCTCTACAAACCAATTTTTACAATTTTTTATTACACATTTTTCAATAAAAAGTCAAAAAGTTAACCCAAACATCCATATTTTCAATCTCAATTTTTTAGTCCAAAAAGACAAAAAGTGCATTTTTTTAATCTTCCCAAACTTGACCTTAATTGTTGCACGTGATAATGTTTGAGAGTTGTTAGCCAGCCCTAAGGGCACATGGGGAGGCCGCATTTTGAGATCCCGGATTCTATTTTAAAAAGAATGTCACTTTTGTTTACAATTTTTAGAATTCATTTTTTTAAAATTTTATTTTTTTATTTTTCATATATTTTTATTTTCACTGAATTTTTTTAATATTTTAAATAATTTTTAAAATTTTTAAACACATATAATATAAATACACTTAAAAAATATAACATTTATGAAAAAAAAAAATTAAAAATTCACTAAACACTAAAATACAAAAAAATATAAAAATTCAGTACATTTTTCATATTTTTTTGTGTATTTATTAATTTTTTAAAATATTTTTTCACAAAAATACATCTAAGTAAAATATATCTAAAAAAGTTGAAAATTACTTAAATTTAAAAAATATTCACTAAAAATTAAAAAAAAATACAAAAAATAAAAACTCAACTTCCAAAAAAACTGAATTCAAGAGACTAAAATCAAACGCTCTCACTTGTTCTCACACGAGAAACACAAATCTGTTCACAGAAGATACTGATGTGGTTTCTTTTAACAAATATGTGGAAAATGCAAAAGCAAAAGCAAAAAATGAAATACAAAAACACAGGAGCATGCTTTTGTGTTCTATATTCTAGGGATATTTTGGGAAGATAGTTATAATTAATTTTTTGATAAAAAATTATTTATAAACAGTTTTTTTGTGAGAGAAGAAGTGTGTTATAATCTGTGAAGTGGATTATAACCCACTTCCCAAAATAGGCCTACGTTAGTATGATTACTCTTTAACAAATAGGTCTTTTTTAAAAATAAAAAAAATAAGGGCAAATTACAAACACTTCCCTCGAGATTTGGTAAAAATATAGATTTTTCCCTAAGGTTTGAGAAATTATAAATTACCCCCTGAGGGTCAAATTTTCATAACAAATTAAGAAAAATTAGGGAGAAATCTGTATGAAATAAAAACTTCAGGGGGCAATTTGTTATGAAAATATAAACCTCAGGAGGCGAGATGTAATTTCTCAAACTTCAGAGAAAATTTATATTTTTATCAAATCTCGAGGGGTATTTGTAATTTACCCAAAAAAAAATAAAAAAAGGTCTTTTAATACAATTTAAGCTCTTATGTTATCTCGGAATTCACAATGGCTTTGCTTTCTTTTTTGGGTGTGACAATGGCTTTGCTTTCGAAACTCGAGTTGAAAGCAAGTGGAGGATACCCAATATTTAATGGATTCTCTCTGGTGTATAATTTGAATTAATGGAAGTTATCATTTTGATGGCTCAAATTATTTATTTTGTCGAATATTTTATATATTTTGATTAGAATTTAAATAATATATACTTGGCTTGTTAAAATATATTTTATTACTTTATTAATTTATATTATTTTATAATTTTATATTTTTGTATATATTTTTGTATTTATATATAAATTAATATAAATAATATATTTTATATATTTAATATATTATATTATATTTATTATAAAATAAATTTTTTTAAAAAATGGAGAATAGGTGGCCGACACCCACCACATCATTATCATTATCACATATTTTATTAAATGTGATTTTAATAGAATGTAAATGAAAGACCATGAGGTGCAATGTTATCTTTTCCTGCTGTATGTAGTTTCCCTTCTGCTTCTTTTTTTTTTTTTATATTATCTTTTCAGGTATATAATATTTTCGGGTGGGAAGGTTTGTTGAGTAGTGGGACCATGCTGTTGCTAATAATACAATGCAATTATGCAATCAAAGCCAATCCATCTGCGGAGAGATAGATAGATAGGGCACATCAATTTGCCTATAAAAGACAGCCATGCTTCGGCCAGCAAGGAGCTCGAGAGCTCCAAGAAGGAGAAATAAATTAGAGAGTCTTTTTCATATGTTATAATAGTGTGTTCATAATTGTGTGAAATTAATATTTTTTTGTAAGATAGAGATAAAATTTTGACTAAGTAATTGAGATTTTTATTGTATTTAGTATTTTTAATTTTGATTTGATTTAGATATAGTTGTATAACTCTCTGATCATTTTGTACAATAAATGTTATATTCAAATCATGTTATATAATGATTTTCACTGTTGTGTACTAAAATTGTTAGACGAGCCATGCTTACTAAGACGGGTCGTGTACATAGTTTTAAATCGTGGTATCGGGTAACGTAACGGTATCGATCGCGGAGTATCGGTATTGGTAGTATCGACCGATACGTATCGTGTATCGGGCGTCGCGACTGTGAAATTTCAAAAATCATTAGCAATCTCTCTAAAACTCAATTTTATGCATTTTTTTGACTCTTTTAACCTTAATTCATTACATTTAAATCAAAGTTTTGATATGTAGAGTCACTTTTGACTCATTTTCAACTAAATGATATATATTTATTTTAATCTCAAGCTTTTATTTGGCATATAAGTTAAATTTTTAATATAAAAATTGATGTAGAAATATTTTTTTACTTATTTTCAACAATGAAATACTTCCACATACACAACAAATTAATAAGAGAAAAAGAGACATGAAAATAAATCATTCGTTTCAGTCATAATCGCATGCAAACAATCTACTACAAATCAACAACTCTAAAACTTAGTAATAAAAAGAATTACGTGGTGGTACAGAAGAATCTCCATATCTCACATCACTTTGATCATCACTATGAATTCGTTGGCCTATTTCTCCATATTGATATTCCTGTTGTAGTTATTGAAAGTGCATTAATCATAAGTGGTGTTGTTGCTGCCACTACTACTTGATTGTTGTTGTGTCATTGCAACCCCCCCGTACCATAATTGAAACCCTCTATATATGGATATTGATGAGGTTGTTGAGAGTAGTCCTAATTTCCCATATAAGGTGGTTGATAGATGTATGGGGGTGGTTGACTTGGAGGAGGGTAATAAGGATATGGTACTTGGCATATTGGGCGCCAATGTTGAGTTCCCCTTCCATCTTCTCGTCTAACTCCGAGATGTCCAAATTGATTTCTAAGATCACGATGACCATAAATATCATCAACATGTCGTGAACACCCAATTGATGCTTCTACATCAGGAGCAAAAACGGAATGTCGTCGTTGCTGTGTAGAATCCCTATTCCAATCATGATCAATATGATGAATACTGCATCTACAACCATATGATGAACACTACCACCACCTGTTGGAGGACGATTGCCATCACTATCATCTCCGCTATCACTAGGTGTGTCACGTCCCACTTTTATATCAACGGATACCATTACCAAATCCTTCATCATAGCATAATTTCAGAGATCATGCGTAGAAATTTAATACATTAACGATTACTATTATTAAAGGTTCTCTCATTCGAATATGAAATGAATGCAACATGGGATAAAAATAAATAAATTGCCCGTAGGCTTACATCTTTTAAATTAAAAGAAAGGGTTTAACCCTTTTACATCAATGACATTCCGCCTACAAATAAAAAGCCCCGTGGCCAACACATAAAGAAGATCCTCGATCTTGAAATCCTTCTTGACGTTCACCTAAAAAAGGATTAGCAACGTGGGATGAACATAAAGTCCAGTAGGGATCCTAATATGATCCTAAACAATAACAACATACAGATAGCTATAATCATGAATGCTTTAAATCATATCATATACATATTGTGACGGTTTATACAGAAATATACTTATATAGGAACTTTTCTCAAAATCATTCATTTCATTCAACAACATAAGCAATTTACTTTTCTTTCTTCTTGTTACCTTTTTCCCAAAATTCATATGACCATAACAAGTTCCTGAAAACAATTTCACAAAGCCCATTATCTTTTCTCCCACTTTCCGGACATACACCCGATTTACCTTCTTGAAACATGTTCACAAGTATTCGATGTTCTTTATATTATTCACAATCTCAATACAGTACTTACGTCCGTTTCCAACACATTCATGTCTCAACATATATACTTTCAGTACAAAGGGAAAACAACAAGCAACCAACAACTATCTACTCAACAAATGAGGCAACTCAGCCTTCTAGAACTATAACCATCATAATCCATAATATACACAGATATATTGAGACAATAATGATTAAGAAGTCCTGCTCTACCTGCCTTAGGCGTGGTAAGTCAAGGATACACCTTTCCAAAACAAAATGCCAAGCCAAGGATACACCTTTCCATAACGAAATGTCAATTTACCAGACACGGGCTGGAAGGTAATG